CCCCTCAAGCTTCCCCCCCCCCCCCCCCCCCTCCCCGCCCTTGAGCGCAGGAGGAGCAATCAATATTCCTCGCCCTCATGCGCCTTCGAGAGAAGATGGGAGCAGAGGAACCCCTCCCGGGAGGCCTCACCAACGGCAACGATGGCGGCGGAGGCGGCGGCGGCGGCGGCAAGCCAAGACTGGTGAAGGACAGCAGGAGGAGCCGCGGCGGCAACAACATCGGCGACTACACCCGGACCCTGTGGAACTCTCTCGGCGCCGGCGACAACGCCGCCGCTGCTGCTTCTGCTGCCACCGACCAGCACAGCGGTGGTGGTGTTGGACGAGGCGGGACGGGGGACGGCGGCGAAGCGCGTTCGAGCAGCGGTGGTGGCGGTGATGGTAGGCGGTACCTGGTGGAGAGTGCCAACATCAATCGGACGAGGCTGTTGGCGTTCGCCGAGACCCTTGCGGCCGGAGAGAGCGCGCTCTCCCCCGGGGTGTTCGAAGTCGGAGGAGGACAGCGTGCGGAGGTACGGCAGGGAGGAGGCGTTTCACGCTGTGTGTGTCGGGGGGTGATAGCGTCCCGTCCACTGTGTTTCTTGTGCCGCAAGACGGGGGCGCGTCTACTGGAATGCTTGATTGCTGGGGTTCTGCAGCCAGGGCGTGGTCGTCCCGCGTCAAGGAACACGTTTGTATTTGAAGCCCTTAGCCTGCGTGGGAGGATTAAACGAAGGCGGTCGTCGAGTCCTTTGACATGGACAACCCCCTCCGCTAGCATACCCCAATACCCATTTTGTTCAAGATGAAGCGTCCTGTTGAAAACATATCTACCTCCACCGCTCCATTCTGGAAGAACTGTCGGCCATAGGACGGAAATGTTGAGGTTTTCGTACCATCACGATTTCTGAGGACAAGCAGACAAGGGGAAGCTCTCGTGCTGCCTGAAGTGTTCTTTGTTCACCGCAGTAAGGGCATTTGCTTTGTCGCGCTTCTGCGAGGAACGCGAAGGTCTCTGGTAGTACATTCTGTAGATTTGGCCGTCGTCCGTGGTTGGCTCGCAGCTAAAATGAGCTCTACACACTGTTTTCGAGGCTTGGGGGCGCGGGAGTTTCGTTGGCGGCTGCCGTAAATCGAATGGAAATCGGCAATTTCCAGAAAGCTTAAGTTTGCTGATGCTGTTGTTGCGCTTCCACACTCAAGGACTCTTGACCCAGCACACGACGCTCGGTAAAGACGAGGCAACCAGGTCGCGCGCGGTCGTAGTGAGTACAACACCCACCCCCCGGTTTGTTCTGCGGGTGACTAACAACAAGCATTTTTTTGTTCTCGATCCGTGCAGGTGAAGATCTACTTCGCTCTAATGCACCTCCACCCTTTAGACGTCCGCATCACGTACCGCGGGACCCCCGGCTCGGACGTCCAGGACGCTGAGGAGCTCACTCTCTCCACCATGGCCCAGCTGAACGACGCGAGGTGCACAGATGTCCAAACTTAAACGTTTCACGTCGAGCTTGTTGTGTGTGTGTTTGTTCTTTTTTGTCCTTCCTCGGACGTGTTTTATTTCGGATCGCCGCTGTTGGTGCGCGAGAGGGGCTTGCAGGTGTTCCGTGTGGTAATTTGGTCTGGGTTTGTGATTTGGATTGTGCGGGGAGACGCCGGCGGGCAGAAACTCTCAGCTGAAGGCGTGTGTCTTGACACTTGCTCTTGATGACCCTCAATGTTGCACGTTTGCTGGCTGTTGCTGCCGTTGACGTGCTGGTGCGATTTGCTGCTGTTGCTGCTCTCAATTGCTGTTGCGATTTCTGCCCGCTGCTGTGTCTGACAAAACGAAAACATCTTCGCCATCATCCTGGCAGGCTGTGCCTGAACGCGTTACAGCTCGAGCACGCTTTCGGCGGCCGGGCGGTGTTTGCCGAGGTCATGCTGAAGCACTACAAGTTCGCGTTCCTCTCGCAGGTGCGTTGTTGCTGTCGGTGTTGTGGTCGTGTTGTTTTTTGCTATCGTCTGTTGTTTGTGGTTTCTCGTCTACGTATGGCGAGAGCATGCCGCATTTGCATGAGGTGTGTGCCCGTTACCCTAAAGCCAAGGTATGTATTACGCCCTCGTAATTGTTGTGTACCGCCTCTGGCCAGGACAGCAGTACAGTGGTACCCCCTCACTCTCACCCATGTGTAAACGTCTGCCTCGGACTTGGTTTCTAGGGATATAGCTCACCCTTCACGCTGAGCACATCTCATGGCGTGCATTGCCCGGCTAATGTCGGTGAAAACCCGGCTCAACCCGTCCTGGTGGCTTTGGAAGAAGTGCGATTGCGTATCGGCGCAGGGCTATAGCGAACACTGAATGTAGTCATATTTTGTCTGCCCCCCCACAACCACCGTTTTGAAATCGCCTCGGCAGGTGCACAAGGTGGTCGGGAGCTTCGACTTCCTGGGAGACCCTGTCGGGCTGCTCTCTAACCTGTCCACAGGCGTCAAGGACTTTTTCTACGAGCCTATCGAGGGCCTCAAGCCGGACGGCAAGGGATTTTTGTACGGCCTGGGGAAGGGGGGCACCTCCCTGGTCTCGAACACCATGCAGGTGGGGTGTGTGTTACCACCGCGTGAAAACAGTGGTAAAGCCGTACGTCGGTGTCGTCACAAGCGCAGCAGGGCGATTTTCGCTTCTGTTGTGGAGGTGTTGGCGTAAACCTCTTGTGGCGGCGGGAGTCTAGCTTCGAGATTTTGACAACGTTGGGGGAGTTTTGTTTCCAGTATTGCGGCGTGGCGTGGGACTTCGCTGCTGCCCAACAAGGTCCGGGGATGGAGAGGCCCCTAGCGAGCTTTTGGCGCCACGATCAGAGCTCAGGGGGTTGCCGTCGAACCCTCTGGTGTTCGGATGACGGTAAAATTGATCATTCTCAGGAGCAAGCAAGTGTAGGCAGTAATGAGTGGAAGAGCTTTAGGGAGAGGATGATTTCGATCGAGACGATGGTCTACGGCAGAAAACACAAAGTATTCTCGTGGAGATGATGTTTCCAATGGTCTCATCTCCCCAACGTCTGATGTGGACAATTTCCTCTCCTCAGACCGGGGTCGACGAACAGATGTCTATTTTTTTGCGGCAAGAGACCCGGGTCCACCCGAGCCCACATCTCCACATTCTTTAGAATGTGATTGGTGGGATAGGTGTTCCCCACCTCTTGCGTACGCTTATTCTTGAGATGTATTCCCCGGACAAGCCCAGTTGTCCGCGCGGCAACACACACATCGCAGGGCGCATTTGCAACACGGTCCAGCGAAGCTATGCATGTGGATGCCCAATGCGTGCAAGCTGCTCTTTCATCCACCCTTTGCTTCCTTCCGCAACCCTTTTTTTAGTGATCGTTCTTCTTGTTATCGTTCGCGGTCTCTTTTTTTGGTTGCGCCCCCCCCCCCCCCCCCTCCCCAGGGAACCTTTAAACCTTTCAAAAAGGTCCCGGGGCCCCCCGGGAAACCAAATTCCC